GTCGGCTTCGCTTATGATGATGAGTATTTTATTATTTCACACGGATAAATTATCTTGGTTTCAACAAAAATAAAGTTTGCAAGTCAAAGAATTCATCGCTCGACGTTGGGCGACATGAAGATACGCCATATCATTTTCATTATATCACAAAATTAAAATTTAGAATAGACTTTTTAAAATGGTTCCTATAGTAAGGAAGACAAACTGTTAAGTTTTAAAAATAGAACATTATTGGAAAGATCGATATTGTTTCGTTTGTTTCACAGCTATTCAAAACTACTGCTATTTTGAGAAGTTTGATCACGTGGCTCTGTTTAATCAGTTCAAGTCATAAGTAATTGTAGATGTTGCTATAATGCAGGTAATGCGTAAGGCATATTAGGTAACGTCCTTAATTTCGTTCTTACAAAATAAATTTAACTATTTCGATTTGGACTTACTGAAATTAATTTTTATTTTGTGATTATATTGATCGCGTCTAGCGGCCGGCGCGCGTTCCGACAAGGTCAGCAATGTTGTGAACATATCTCGTGAACAAAAAACAGGCCACAGCACGCGAGACCGGCACGCATCACAGTTTCGTAACTACAGCTTGTGACTAATTAAAGGGACTGGTATAAGTTGTAGGGGTCGTAGGTATGACGTAAGCACTGTTGCGAAGGCAGAGTAGAATACCCCTTTTCATTCAGTGAACGTAATTAAAGCCTCCTAAGGAGCATTATTTTTTTTGAGGGAGAATATCAACCAATGTCTTCTACCACCCGGGTACGGCGAGAGGGACCAGTCCAGACTCTGACTAAAAACCATCCCATTCCTACTCCTGCACTCCGAACTGGAGCCCCGGTAACCTGTTAAGCCCTTCGCTGCCCCGCGACTAACGGACTACACATTTGACTTACTTTAATATTTTGACAACTTCAAAGCTGCATCTTGAACTATGCTAAGTGGTGAGTGCGGCGCGTCGCGTTCCTCAAAGAGCCATCAGACCACCACAGATGGGGCCCAATAGGGCTGATGCCGATACGGGCTCCGGCTCGAAGTGCAGGAGTAGGAACGGGGTGGTTTTTAGTCAGTAAGAGACTGACACTCCCTCCCGCCTCACCTAGGCGGAAGAAGTCATTCGATTATTTTCCCCCCTTAAAAAAAAATGGTGATTATGGCCGACTCTCTTATGCAAAGAAGGCTCCCACACCCAGCGTCAACTGCCACGCTAAGGAATGCCGTAGTTTCAAACCTCATTAACTTCAGCGTTCAGTAGTTTGACATGAGCATTAGCAAACACACACACGCGTACCTACATCCTTACAAAACTTTTCCGTTTCGAAGTAGGCATAGTATAGCATAATTTTTTACATAAATAAGTAGCTATTGACTTGAAAAAACCTTTGGGGGCGTAGAACCACGTGGTTCTAAGAATAGATCATCACGGTGTTCGTAAATACTGATAGGTAACTTGGGACGAGCGGTAAAACCCCATTGTTTAACTCTAGGTACATCACGATCAAGTTCATCACGAATTAATTTGCATATTCCACGTAGTTTTACTCTGCTGCTTTTCCATGTAAGCGTATGTAGTATACAAAAAATAAAAATAAACACAAATAAATTGGTACCTAATAAATTATGACCCCACAAGGGCACTTCAGCTGACGTTACTGGAGAATATGAATGGGATAATTATTATATGATGGATACATTACAGCAAGTTTGCCTACTAAAAAGACTTTGAGGACTAGTGTTTTGTACTAAAAATTAATAATGACTCAAAATTCACTGAATTAATCGTAAACCAATGCACAGAACAGCTAATTATTTTATGTGAAGTATTTTTCACAAATGAATAATTTTATGTGAAGTACAATTTTTTGTTTTTTTTTATTATTTTTTTATGGGATAACCCGATAAACGAGCTGACAGATCACCGATCAAACGAGCAGGCGTTACAACTGCGTTACCGGCCTTTTTGGATTAGGAATTCAGCGATTGGGGAGAAAGGGGGGGATAATTAGGCCTTCGGTAACCTCACACGACGAAACACAATGCAACGTTGTTTCACGTCGGTCTTCTGTAAGGCCGTGGAATCACTCCGGTCGAGCCGCGTGGCTTTCCACACTTAATTTTTTGTAATAAACGAACTTGTTTGTAATAAACAAAATACATATAATTAAGGTAACATTTAAAGAACATAAATCTAAGTATATTCCGTTTTCCAACAATGCAGTACTTTTTCGCTGGTTTATTTGCGTAGGAGTGCGTCATGAACGGGTACCCCCAATTTTAATTATGAAACGTATCGAAGCATAACATGTAGACACGACTACACATCGAGCTATATAGAGGTAAAACCAGTATAAGTAGAACTTTTAATGTGCATAAAGATTGTCCGAAGCGATACCATGATATATTGGTGTGTGTAGTTTGATGTGTTTACATTGTACAGTCTTTGTTGTAAGTCGGTAGGTTTTATTTTCTCTATTTTTATTTATTATATTTACAATAAATACAGGATTATCCATTTAAAATAGCAACCTAAAGTCACTAAGATTTAAATTTGTGCTATCATTAATCAATCTCAAAATCTTTTACAAATACCTCTATATATGTTAATGTCGCTATCAATATAACCCCTTGCAAATTTTTGAAAATCATTCCCTAAATTTGTTCATAATTATAAAAGTAGTCTCTAAACGTTGGAAATAAGGTCTATAAGATAGTTAGTGGAGAGTGGTCACCGGTGACAGCTTGGGGATATATGCGACAACTTAGGATAAACGGTATTTGCTTACAAAGACATTCCTAAATATATGTCATATTGCTTTAAAACGTAGAGTTCGTTATAAAATACGTAATTACTGTCAAAATTCTCCAAAATATACATACTATTTTTTGTATCGTTCACTTTGCAGTACAGTGTCCAGTGGCCAGCAATTGATCTTATGGATTGGAATTTCGACATTATAATGTAAACAATAAAGTTGAAAATCAAGTAATGGAACAGAAAGGAGTAGGTGGATATACTGGCTTCTGTACCTACCTCTTATTTTAATAATAAATAATTAACAGTTCCATCAAAATACCCGTGGTATTTCCCACGACCTGTGCTATTGTTCTCTTCGTTTTGTCTCGTGTTCATAAAACGTGAACTCAGTTTTTGGTTTTTTTATTTTTAAAATACATGTTTTAGCAATACCAGTTGACATAATCGTGATCATATAACTATAAGATTGATGACTAGATGAAAACAAGAATGAATGATGTATAAAGAAAAAAAAAAAAAGCAATCGATAGCTACAATTTTTTTTAAAAGGGGGAAAATCATCGAATGGTTTCTCCTAACTAGATGAGGCGAGAGGGAGTGTCAGACTCTTACTGGCTAAAAACCACCCTGCTCCTACTCCTGCACTTCGAGCCGGAGCCCCGGTAACCCGTTAGGGTCTCCGTAGCATGGATAGCTACAATGCTGGATATTTTAGTTAATGTTAGTAAAAATAAAAAATGGATTTCAAAGACCGATTTGACTAAAACATCGCTGACTTAACTAGAATCCTTGAGTCATCTCCTAAGCGTGAGAATTGGGATTAACGGGGTATGACAATTAAAAATCTAATTAGTCCGTAAGTTAGGTACCTAATGAAAAAATATTAGTCACGAATTTTTTTTATTTTGTTGAATAATAAATAAAATGATACTTAGATAAAACGAATCAAAGTTTAGGAGTGGGGGGCTACAACGTCATTTCTACGTATAAAATGTACATAGAAGTGACGTCACGTGACATTTCAAATCAATATATCGTTGAAAGCATTCGTTTCTGTAAGAAAAAAAAAATACGTGTCTAATGATTTAAAATAATCTGCCAGACGGACATTCAAATAAAAATTAGGCATCTTCCCTATTATGGCAACCCCTACGTTCGTTGTTACATTGTTCTCACACAATTGTACCAACAAAACTATGTAGGTAACTAAATAATTGTATTGTGAACCTGATTGAAAAAGAGTAATCTACGGAGTTTCTTTGCATTCTTCTCCATAGGCATCTTCATATTAGAATGAGAAAGTACATTTATTTCTAAAATTTTTGTCAACGTTCAAAACTGCCTTCCTCGTCTAATTGAAATAAATGATCTTGACGTTGACTTTGTCACATCTGAAGACAGTTCAGTAATGGGTATGTTTCGGTATATTTTTGGATTTTGGATTTGGATGACTGCCTCGTTGGCCGAGTGGGCGTAAGTGCGACTGCTGATCAAGAGGTCTCGGATTCGATTCCCCAGTCGGGCAAAGTATTACTGGGTTTTTAAAAATCTCAGTAGTAGCACGGAGTCTGGAAATGTGCCCGGTATATGGCAATAGGCTCACCCCCTATTACATGGGACTCATAACATAAATAGTGAAAAGTGGGTGTTACACTGTACAGTGGCGTTAAGTGCCGTAATATGCCTACCCCTTCGGGGATAAAAGACGTGATGTTATGTTATTTTTGGATTTTGTGATTTAAAGGACTAAAATAATATCTGCGTTGATCATTATGAAAAATCATTCGACTTACTCTTATTTCCTTCAAAAACTTTCTATAAAAAAGCAATCAATGTATAATTGGACATTACGGTTGGTACCTACCATAGATATAATAAATAATGATTTTAATATTACTGTGATTGGTGCAGGGCAATTTCGATTCTCGCACGTCACAACTTTTTATACAATCCACAAAATGTTCCGGAAAGAATGTGATGTGTATGTAAACACACCCAAGACGTAAATGAAAATAACAGGTCTATGTTTTTTTTTCTAGAAAAAAAAACACAATATTTCAATACATTATTCTTAATAATTCAACCTCAATTCATCTAAGTAGCATACAATAAGTTACCGACAAATATAACCAGTGGTACAGACAACAGTGCAGGCCGAAATTCGTGTCCAGAATCCAAATTAGTTGGAATAGAATTAACTATAAAACGCGAATCCTGGCTGGTTACACCAGATACTGTTGGGCTGTATAACGAGCAACATTAGATAAGTGAACTATAAAAAAAAGAAAAAAGTAAAAATGAAATTAGTCTGGTCGCTAGTAGTCTTGAGCTATGCTTTACTCGAAGTCCAAGGATATCCATTCCCAGTGTTCACGTCTTCAGCAAATGTCGATACGTGTAAGTACATAAATCTACTTTTTTATTTTAACGATTAAATTTTTTGGTTAGTTTTAAACATAACATCACGTCTTTTATCCCCGGAGGGATAGACAGAGGTACACATTATGCTACTGTACAATGTAACACCCACTTTTCACTATTTATGTTATGAGTCCCACGTGTTAAGGGGTGAGCCTATTGCCATATACTGGGCACACTTCCAGACTCTGTGCTACTACTGAGAATTAAAAACCCAGTAATACCTTGCCCGACCCGGGAATCGAACCCGAGACTTCTTGCCCGGTATCGCACTTGCGACCACTCGGCCAACGAGGCAGTGGTTAGTTTTAGTTCCGTAATATACAGTTTTGTGTAAACATCTATTGGTATACTCTAGTTCAGGGTATACATTTATGGATGAAGCCGAATAACTGAAGTGGATACAAATTTTACACATTTAGCTATATTTTAGCAAAATCTATAAAATTTGTATCCACTTCTAGAGGTCTTGTTAATTTCTAGAGGTCTAAAGATTGAGTTAACTAGTTAACTAACTATAGTTAACTAAAAACTCCTGGGTACACTGATTAGTATCAATGAACATTTATTTCACAGGGTCGTACGGAGATGCTCATCGTGGCGGCAAAGTTTTAAGTCGTTCGTACAACCCATACGCCAGTCGACGAGCAGTAAGAGCTGGCCCGACCACCTACTCAGTTTGGAAACCAGAAACCGAATTTAATCCTTTAACATCTCATCAATCGATCCAGTATCATCAGGAAAGACGTCGCCAAGCTTTACTTGAAGTAAACGACACACCACCGCAAGAGAATGAAATCTTCTACCCCCAAGAGAATCCAGTACCCGTTGCTGATGAAGCCACAGAATTAATTAAACCACTTGAAGTATCACCAGAAGCGCCAACAACAGTAAGAGCTATTGTACCTGAACCAGCTGAACCTGAAAAAGAAGAAAAGCCGGCTCCAGAACCAAAAGCTGTAGAGAAGAAGATTCCATCCAAAAAGCCAGTAGTAGATGAAGAAGAGGATGAAGATGATGATGATGATGACTCCCCATCTCAACCCAAGTTCCCTGGTAATGCCTTCTTCCCAATGTTTTTTGCTTGGGGAGGTGGAAATGGACCTGTAGCAGTAGCTAATTCGTTCAGTAAGGGACGCGGTGGTGCGGCCGCTAGCGAAGCCACTGCTTATGGAAGCTACGTCCCTCTTGTAAAATCAGCTGCTGCTTTAAAATCACACTAAAATGCCCTCAGAATTATTCGAACCTTGCATTGTATAAATGTTAGTTGTTTCTGCTTTGGACTTTGTCATCACGTGTTGTGAAATTATGAATTTATACATTTTCTCAATAAACGTTTCTATTTTGTTTTAATGTGTTGTATTTTTTTTCTTGGGTCGGTTAAGTAATTGAACTAGCGTCAATCTTAATTGGAAATCTGAGGATTTTGTTAACTCATGTCTATGTTTTTTCTACATTATAATTTGTTTGTGATTGATTAGACTTTACATTAAAAATGTTTAACAATACTTTCATTAGATTTTTTAAAGACAATTGTGTCTTTTCGTGTTTTCGGAGGTTTACAAAATTAAAATTCAAAGTAAATTTTTAGTATATATACTCAATTAATAAGGATAACGTTAAGTGTTGGAATCAATAATTAGTCTTTCTGAGTTTCCTATTACAATAATGCGAAATACTCAGATATTATGAAAATAAGATTCATTCGTATTTTAGTATGACGCCTGACCAAACGTCTAAACTATCACACGCTGATTTCAAACGAATTGCGCGAATTGTAGTGGTAGAGTAGAAAGCACTTAGACATCTTAAGAAATTACAGCTATCAAGGTTTAAAGATATTTAATTAACAAAAAAATCAATTAAAACATATTAATATCTATTTCTCTATGAAAGATTGTTGACATATTGTTCACTAGTTAACACGTTAAACGGTGGTGCAGTTGCAGTTGCAGTGCTAGTAATTAAACATTATTTTAACAGATATTTTACTATTCGCAATACTTATATTTTTTAGTGATCAGCATCAGCATTAATTGTTTCTTAATGAGGTATTGTGTTTACGGCTAACACACATAATTGTTTGACGATGAACATGTCGTGGAATGCTGTTCATGAATATGAGCCTCTAGCATGGCTTGAAACTAGTCGAGTTCCACGTCAAACAGTTTCATGAGTAAACTGAAAACATATCTAATAATTAATTTAGTATGTCTCACGAAAGTTTTAGTATCTGTTTCAATTTTTCTCTTCTTTTTAACGGGGTAACCTTCAAAAGGTGCCTTGAAGAGAGAGAAGTCCTATTAGAGAGAAGTCATATATAAGAACCTAAGAGAAGTCTTATTACTGTTAAAATAATGTTAGGTTGTTAGAAAGATGTGATACAGTAGTATACTTATGTTATTATGTTACAAATCCTATTGCTATTGTAATATGTTTTCGGCGATGGCGACCTCTCGCGTCCGGGCCTAGTGCAGGCCATGATGCGGAGCGAGGGGGATTGGGATGCCGTCTCCTCCTTTTGCGAAGCAGTCATGCTAGCTAAGGAGGAGGCGGGACGCGTGAGGCAGCGAAGCGCTGCCTCCTCGCAACCCAGCCATCGCGAAGGACACACCGGGCGTCGGGGATCGCGGGACGATCTCCGGCCACCGTAAGCGCGGGCCTGCGGACGGCGAGCATGGGTGGCTCCCCGTCCGACCAGAAACAGACCCGAGCGTACGGCGCGTCGCGTTCCCGTTCGCGCCTCAAAGAGCCATCAGACCACCACAGATGGGGCCCAATAGGGCCGATGCCGATTCGGAGTCGCGGAGAACCTAACGGGTAACCGGGGCTCCGGCTCGACGTGCAGGAGAAGGAACGGGGTGGTTTTTAGTCAGTAAGAGTCTGACACTCCCTCCCGCCTCACCCAGGCGGGGGCAGTCATTCGATGATTTTCCCCCCTTAAAAAAAAAAAATAAAAAAAAAAAAAAAATTGTAATATGTTTCACAATTATAAACGTTGAATATCTCATTTATAACACAAATAGCGTCTGCGAGTTTCATCTGAGCCAATCCGCTAATGCTAGTTTCGTCATATACTTGCAGTATTTTGCCAACATAGGTAAGCATCGATCGAATACGTGTACTCGTTTTCGTAGTCCTCAATCTACCCATATCATACAAATTAGAAGGAAGGCTATTAATTATTATCAGAATATAATATTATTTTGTTAGTTAAGTTTAGGTAATTATGTTACTTTATTAACTTAGTTACTTTATTTTGTTAATTCTAAGTGGTTTTCTTTATTTTATTAATAAGTAACTTCTATATATACGCTGTACTTTCTTAAATTCAGCCTAAGAAGTTTATAGGTATTCACTTCAAGTTAAATGTTTCCAAGAAAGTCGATTAATAATATATGCTACAATAAATACAAATACCTACATATTTATTGTCTTTTGGGAAAATATGGTCTGGCATACAGCGAATCAATGCACTGCAACCGTACGTGAAGTCTAAACCTGCTCTATCGATAGAAACAGGCGTCTGTTACGATTGTAAGATGTATTAATTAATGTGGTTTTGTTTTTGTGGACATTTATTTTGATTCAAAAGAGGTCATACAATAATGAGTGAATCAAACGTAAGTATATTATCACTGGCTTCAACAACGTAGTTAAAATACCACAGTCAATAGGTATAAGTGCCGACAACTTAATCATTTGTGAATAAAGTGAAGGTAGATTGCTAATGATAGTAAGAAGGGGTTAACACGGATGGGAATAAAACCAAAAAGTATAAAAAAATTAAATGGCAAATAAATTTTATTTATGGAAAGATGGAATGCGCATTACCTTTATACATATAATAATAAGTACATAACAACGTAGAAATATAAAATTTACACTTAGATCTAAAAATTTGTCAGGTTTTACACTCTTTCTTCTGGTCTGGGTGCTCCGTAGGCTGTCGCATGACTCGTGGCTACTCCACCCTTACCGGTGCTGTAGGCGTTGGCAACGGCCATGGGGCCACCTGGTCCTCCAGCGCCACCAGCACCGCGACCACCGTAGCCGAAGAACATAGGGAAGAAAGCACCAGCAGGCATTTTAGGAACGTACTCTTCTTCGTCTTCATCGTCAATCGGCCTCTTCACTTGCTTCTTCTTGCTTACTTTCTTCGCTTTCTGCACGGGTGCCTCTTCCGCTACTTCTTTGATTTCAGGTTCAGCCAACTCAGGCACAACAACAGCTTTCTCAGTCACGGGGGCAAGTTCTACGTTTTCAGTAGGTTCGGCGAGTTCAGTAGCTTCAGATGGTACGAATGCTTGGTTTTCTGGCTGTTGGGGGTAGGCGACTTCATTCTGCTGGGGCGGGACGAAGTTAGCTTCTTGTTGAGTCTGGCGGCGTCTGTCGGGTAGGTAGTACTGGCCGGACTGCTGCGGAGCCTCTGCCTCGGGTTGCCTGTACATGAAGGCAGCCATGCCACCGCCCACAGCACGAGGGTTGTAGTACGGGTTGTAGTAGCGACTCAACGCTATTCCGCCACGGTTGCCATCGCCGTACGATACTGTGGAAGAATAAAATAGCTATACTCAAGGAATATAATTATGTTTTAAGGTTGTACAGATTGGTTTAAGATCAATTAAGTGATCACAAATTCTTTATGCTACTACTGATAATGTATTGAACAAAATTTACTGACACTGGTCTACGTTATTATATTTTTTATGCATTGAGGGATGCAAATTGTAATTTTTAAGAATTTTTTAATAGGAGCTAATCAATAAGTAAAAATTAGAACAAGATACTCACGTGAATCGACATTTCCGTAAGAGGGGTAATATGCGTACGGATATCCCCTGGCTTCGAATAGCGCGCAACTCAAAATCACAAAAGAGATTACAAACTTCATTTTTACGTTTTTCGTAAATATAATTTGTTCACTATTTGATACCCTTAGCGGGATGTGGTGTGGTTTACAGCTACTGAGTGTGTGTTGGCTGGAGCCAGACTACGCGTTATATAGTCCACAGTGTCTGGACTAATTGGGATGCAGGACACGTCGCCTGCCTGCACCCGCGCGGGTACGTCCATTTTACAATATTCGGCAGAGCTCTAACGGAGACTGGACAATGGACATCCTAGAGAGGACCCGATCATGCGCAACACGTATCCATTAGCCAGGTAAACCGTTGAACTTTTTGTTTTGGTGTTTTTTGCATTAAGTTGCACTAGATCTGATGACTCACATTTTACAGTAGTAATGGGTTTTAGATTTATGCTCAATCGGTAATTCAGTGGGTTTTTTCTCGTCTTCCCAAAAAGTCTACATTTTAGTGTAATAATGCTACAACGTTTTCCAATTGATCACATTACATTTATTTACGATACCAAATTACACTTCATTCAAAGTTTCAGTAATACAAAACTCAATTTTATAACGTGTAATTTTCATTTAATTAACATTAAAATGACCGTGTTGCCCACAAGGGACTCTACAAACATTTTTATTTATAGTAACTTCGTGTGAATTTGCAAACACAAAGTGCTATAAATATGGAAAAATCGAACTGTTCGGTGCGTGTACACATTATGTTGCGTTTGCGATCGCCCTGCATAAATCGACCCTACGTGGAATGACAAAAAGGTTCATTCATGAAGATTTATAACATTAGTAAAGTCGTGTTTACTAGATTTTTAACTACTTCTTGGAATCTTTGAACCGTTTATATTACTCGCAATGAATGTCGCGGAAAATTGTGTTGTTATGTAAATAATAGTCTATTGAGTTTCTACCTTTATTTCTTTCTATACTGTTCTGTGTATTTCTTAATAGAGATACGTTTTATTAGCTGCATTTTTCTCTTATAATATGACCTCTGTTATGTATGTATTAGTAATAAATGTTCTAAATCTAAACCTGAAAAGAATAGACCTGCAGCTCTTATTACAGAAGATGATCATTCAACTGTCGCGTCTATGTCAGTTTAGTCTATAATGAATGATCTAGTTTTGGTTTCATGCGTTGTAAATTTAAATTGTAATACAGTTTATGCTTTATTTGGTTTATTCCTTTCGGGAAAAGAACATGAGTTGTAGCTGATTGTAAGAGCATATTCAATTCAATGGTTTGATTAGATATTTAAACGTTACATGCTAAGAATGCTAAGGAGGGCCTAAAAAGCAATCCGTAAGTGTACGACGTCAATAATTTCCCAAGAAATTATTTTACGTATTCGCGGTGCCAATAGAAGCTAAGCACATGTTCGAAATTCATAATATTAAAATCCATACATATTTGTATTTCACCCACGTGAAAGATTTGAGTATCCTAGTAGCAAAGCCGGCGATACTATCTCTGAGTTAGTCCATTCCATGCGTCGATAGCATCTGTGCCCACGGCTTAAATTCCGTTAAAATGTTCATAACTGTCAAATTTGCCTGTTTGCACGTAAGGAGATGTTGCTGGTGGATTTATGCCGGAAACGTCATGGTCTTCACATTAGTATGAGCAGCCGTCCGGACTGATTCATGCTCAACAAGACTCAACGCCGTGTTCGAACACCTGTACAGCCGTACTGTCTGCGACGATGTCATATTAAACTTGGATTTTAAAGCCAGTAGTGTGTAATAAGTTGCTCGTCATGACTTAAACATCAGACAGATAATCACTATTTGATAGCTTTTGAGGAAACAATAGATACCTACGTAGAAGTGTTAGAACGATTTCTGGCCAACGACAATAAACGCATAGCTGAATATATTGGCCCCAAATTAGGTGTTAACATATTCAAATCATACCTGCCTACTTGAGACGTACTAACTAAAAATAATTTGCGTTACAAAGTGTTCGCCGAAGTGCATTTGCAGGTTGTCACCTCGGCAGACATTCTGGCTGCGCCTCAGCTGTCAGATTGTACGATACGACTACATCTTGATGGCCTGATATCACTGCTAAAGAGACAGTGCAAGGACCTCCCGAAACCGCTACACTCACAGCTGATGTTACTTTTTAGCTTTGTTCTATTTCGTGTTTAGGTTACTTCCTTTTAAAAGAGACACGAATAGTGAAAAGCCAAAATTACTTTACAAATTGGAACAGCAAATCGATAACCATATTTTATCAAAAACACGTGCTGCGCACAGTATGCAAATTACAACCATTAACATTAAGATAGAATTACCTGATGAGTTTTGGAGCTGCATATACAGTGGCTAATCTTGAAGAAATTATGGGTAATGTCGTAAGGGACGTTTCGTTCCCTGAGGTCTTGTAAGGGTCAGGAGATACAGATATTTATCAATAGATAAGAATCGATGGGAATTTGACGGTGACTTCGATAATATCCTGAGGTGAAGATAAAGGCAATCGTGATCCTAATATTTACTCGAGCAATGCTTTTAAAATTAAGATCATATAAAATCATAACCTCAATGTATACATGCTAAATGTAGATAACATTTTAGAATGAGGGCCTAGCTTCATAGATAGACAGGCGGACGGACAATTAAATTTTTGGCAATTCAAACAAGTGAGGATTAATTGACATAAATGCTTTGACTTTGACTTATAACTAACACCCGTTTTGCGGTAATTATGTTAGGAGTACTTAAGTTGATGGAAGTAAGCCTCTTTAACAGTCATCGAACACTATTTAATCTCTTTGGTAGGTACTAAGAATGCTTCGGATTGGTAGTATGGGTTAGTACCGACCTTTGGATACAGAACCTATGGTTCTCGAATAGTCTCTAGTTAAGTAGTACAGGTTTCGAATGTGTAACTGGCATTTGCAAAATATTCATCACTTACAATGGAACCATAACATACTTTTGACTGGTGTAAAAAGCGAACTTAATAGTATTATAAAGGTTCCACCAGGTTTAACCATTACGACGATTTACAGCTGTCATATTTTTCAGCCATGTGGTAGCGACAAAGCGAACTCATACTTACAGAGGACAAAACAGTAATAGTGCTCTCTAATAGACCTGATCTTTACTGCAAATTCAACCTGTCAAACGTGATGATTATTGCAAATCCGAATGACATAATGGACTGATTAGTGACTAAATGTAATTGTAAATGTAATTTTTAAGAGTGGGAGAGCCATGCTTCGGCAATAATGGACATGGCTTGACCAGAGTGATACCACGACCTCACAGAAAGCCAACGTGAAGCAACGCTTGCGTTGTGTTTCGTCGTGTGAGTGAGGTTACCGGAGGCCCAATTACCCTCCCCTTCCCCAATTCCCCTAATTCCTGAATCCCAACGATCTTTAAACTCCTAATCCCCAAAAGGCCGGTAACGCACTTGTAACGCCTTTGGTGTTCAAGGTGTCCATGGGCCACGCCGATTGCTTACCATCAGGTGATGCGTCTGCTCGTTTACCGGCTTATGCCATATAAAAAAATTACCTACTTGTTTCTAAGGCACCCTAAGACTGACTGCGGCATTGACTTTGACTAAAACCACATGAGTCACAGATTATATCACTGATTCCATAACAGTCATTCCGCCGACGATCTAAATATTATACAGCATCAAGGTGTGGTAAGATTTATTCTGGATCTTAATGGGTCAGCAGAATTTATGGTCTCCGTCGGCAGTCCTTTTGCCTATAGAGTTGAATTCCCTACCAAATCTATCTTTTGTTTTACATTCATCATGGACATTATGTGATTATTCTTATCACGTTCTAATTTGCATTCATGCTTCACTCTGCATAGAATTTTGAAAGAAATTTTTTATCCTTTTTAAAACAACAGAATCCTCCTCGGTATTTAGATGATTGAGTCGTTCGTTTGAAATATTCATGCTGTCATGTAAATTCTCTGCCCAATTTGGAACTTGACTAGCTGGTTTCAATTTATTTTATTTAGGCTTTGCTTACTGGAATTGTAACATAACCAAGGAATTGTAGAGATTCTAATAATACGTAGATATTCTAGTATCTGCCTTTTGAACAATAAGGACTACACGGTTGGCGCGGTGGCTGGGGTCTGTGTATGATCCACAAATTGTTGTTTGCACACATAGGAGATAACGTTTTTCTTAAAAAAAAGTTTGGTACAGTTTTGATAGCACATTTTGGTTAACATAATTTTCCTGTACCATTTATAATAATATATTAATTTATCGACCTATTCGTCTTCCGTATAGACCACAAAGCCCATATCAACAATCAAAGTAGCTTGACACAGACAAACCACAACAAGTTGCTTTTAAATTTTAAATTGCAAAGCCTGTTTGACGTCGTTGTCTCACCCTTTACTGTCTGACTCTAGTCTGGCTATTGAATGCATATCGGGCACATCTCTACGTCAAACATGTACGGACAGACGTACAATTTTCCTGTTCTTTGTGTATAAGTAAATTTTCGCATACGTGCCTAAGTTCACGATCGATTTTGATTTGTAGTTGCTAAGTAGATCATTACAAGCTACGAATGTGTTATGTTTATCCTCTTACGTAGTTGTGGCCGCGTGCTGTGCTGCGTACTATACATTATTTATAATCTATTTTGTGGAATATATTTAGATTTTAGTGAAAAGATTATTGCTTTTGTGAAGTTAATAATTTTTTCTTTGCTCATATTGCTTACGCTCGATGATTGGAATCATGTTTAACTTTTGACAATATACATAGTTCTCTTGTTGTCTCGTCATCATTACAACGTCCTATGAAAAACGATGATATTATAATATGTAGTGTGATGATATTATAATAGGTACTCCAGTTTAGTTCAAAGAATAAAAAACTTTTTCTTTTTGCTGATTTTCTAAAATTTTGTTATGAACGGTGAAAATCTTCAACAGAGTAGGCCGAAATGTAACAGTATCTAAGATTTGTTCGCCAAGATTCCAAGAATGCCTGCGTGCAGTAGGTTGAGGTCGGTCAAGGCACATTGCATCTTGTAAAGAGTTTACATATTTGTTGTTTAAAACAATGTTGATGATTTTTTCAACAGTACTTTATTTCGGTTAAATTTTAGCTAGAATGAC